TGAGCAATTACTGTAAATCGGCATTAACTTGACTTCATACCATACCTAACCCTGTTCACGTTTGTTTCCATTAAAACATTACTCTCGGATTTAATCATGAAAGTTCTTCTTAGTAAATACTGAGTGAGAAAAGTTGATTTATCTTCCCTTTGACAACAGTTGATGTTTTATTTCCTGAATATTAAACAGACATTTTTTAAATTTTAGCTTCAAATATGTCTGATGTACCATGGGAAAACGAAAAGAAACGAAATTACATTTGTATGCGACATATTATCACTGATGTTGTAAGTGAAGGATTGAGGAAAGTTTTTAAAAACGAATGGAACACTCGTTTCCAGGCAAGGTTCGGAGCATGGAATGACACCAGTGCAAGTGGTGTGCAGTTGTTTTCTCTGGAAAATACACGCTCAAGACCAAACAAGAACGTGAACCAGGCAAAATTTCAAGATGGAGATACAAATCAATGGGATTGTTCCGTGCTTTTTGACGCAATTTTGTACTCCAACTCTATTGGTAAATCAAGTTTGAATCCAACAATTAAGACTGAAGTTGACAATATTCGAAAGATGAGAAATAAAATTATGCATGCTGATGAAACATTCTTATCTGATGCTGACTTCCAAACCATGATCAGTGATGTTGAAAACGCATTTAAAGCCCTTGGTCTTCCAATTCATGATATCGTACAAATTAAAATTAAGAGAAACCGTTACAAATCATTTCAAGTTTTACCTTCAAAGCCAATCCACCAAGTTGTTTACCGTTCTGAAGAAATCAACGAAATGAAACAGGACCTCCAGACATTGCGCATTAGTAGCGGAGGGAAACTTACATATCTCTATATTTCTGGAAATCCCGGAAGTGGTAAATCAGAGCTATCCCGGCAGCTGTGCGAGGATTTGTTCAAAGGCACAAATTGGGAAGCAGAGGCAACATTTGTAATGACATTGAATGCAAAAGATTTAGACACTATTCTCCAATCGTATCAAGATTTTTGTCGACGTTTAAATTGTTCTGAGAGTATACTGGTAAATGTAATGAGTTCATGCCAACCAGAACATGAAAAGATCAAAGAGTTAAGATCACTGATTGAAAGCAGAATCAAGAACTGGAAGAGGTGGTGGATTATTATAGACAATGTGGAAAATCTCAATATCATTTCACCCCTACTACCACAGATGGGCAACGAAGTTTGGAATAATGGACAAATTATATTAACAATTCAGAATAGAACTGCAGTCCCTTCCGACAGTCCCTTCACTAAACATATTTCACTCAGCTGTGGTATGAAAATTCAAGAATGTCGCCAGTTACTGTTCTTATTATCAGGAACTGATGTTAATGATCGATTCTTAGATGAAGCTGCTGAGAAATTGGATCACCAACCTTTGGCTATAGCTGCTGCAGCTGTATACTTCAAGAAAGTCAACGAGAAAAATTGCTGTCCAACGTTTTCGTGGCAGGATTACTTAAAAAAGTTAAAATGTAAAAGAGAAGTCACGGAAGAGCAACTTCTCAAAACCAGTTCGGCTTATCAATCCACCATGTCTGCAGCGGTGTCCCTAGCTGTTGAAAAATCTGCAGAAAATAGTTTTATTTTACATCACACATTCGATCTTTTTTCTCTGATCTCTTTTGAACCATTACCACTTGATATTATCACCAAATACATTCAACAACTTGATCAAAACTGCGATAAAGAAGAAATTTATTTGGCAGTAAAAGATTGTTCACTTTTTCTTCTTATTGAAATTGAAGATTGTGAAGTTCGTTTACATCGTGTTGTCCACGACGTAACCAAATCATTGAGTAATTGTAAACCAACTGAGACTACAAACTATTTTCACAGTGACTTTCCTGACGAAACGGCGAAAACTGCAAGTAGAGTTCAAAACGTGGCAAAAGCAATTTATTGTTTCAAAGACAGGGACGATCAAATCAAGGTAATTCCTCATTTGAAGGCTTTCAATTTAACAGTTAAAAAACTTGTTCCCGAACAGAATTCATTATGCTCAAATGCATTCGCTTCTCAAAAACGAGAAATTTGTAAAATATATCTGTTTTTTGCAACAACATTACATCACTTCTGTGCCTTTAAACTCGCTATTGAATTTCATAATATGAACCTTCCGATTTCGAGGGGTTTTGAAAAAGACAACTATTACGAGTATTGTATTCTTAACGCTCTTGGAAATTTATACAAAACACTGGGCGATTTCGAACAGGCTAAGGATTATCATGAACGAGCACTGGCACTAGTAGAAGAGCAATTAAGTCCTGACAATGTCCTTATTGCATCTTCTTACAACAACCTTGGTGAAGTGTATCGTGCTAAAGGTGAACTGGAGCAGGCTAAGGAATATTATCAACGAGCACTGGCAATTGACAAAAAGCAATTAGGTCCTGACCATGTTAATGTTGCACGTTCTTACAACAACCTTGGTCTTGTGTATAATGCTAAAGGTGAACTGGACCAGGCTAAGGATTATCATGAACGAGCACTGGCAATAAGAGAAAAGCAATTAGGTCCTGGCCATGTTAATGTTGCATCTTCTTATAACAACCTTGGTGAAGTGTATCGTGCTAAAGGTGAACTGGAGCAGGCTAAGGAATATTATCAACGAGCACTGGCAATTGACATAAAGCAATTAGGTCCTGACCATGTTAATGTTGCACGTTCTTACAACAACCTTGGTCTTGTGTATAATGCTAAAGGTGAACTGGACCAGGCTAAGGATTATCATGAACGAGCACTGGCAATAAGAGAAAAGCAATTAGGTCCTGGCCATGTTAATGTTGCATCTTCTTATAACAACCTTGGTGAAGTGTATCGTGCTAAACGTGAACTGGAGCAGGCTAAGGAATATTATCAACGAGCACTGGCAATTGACATAAAGCAATTAGGTCCTGACCATGTTAATGTTGCACGTTCTTACAACAACCTTGGTCTAGTTTGTCATGCTGAAGGTGAACTGGACCAGGCTAAGGAATATTATCAACGAGCACTGGCAATTGACATAAAGCAATTAGGTCCTGACCATGTTAATGTTGCACGTTCTTACAACAACCTTGGTCTTGTGTATAAAGCTAAAGGTGAACTGGAACAGGCTAAGGATTATCATGAACGAGCACTGGCAATAAGAGAAAAGCAATTAGGTCCTGGCCATGTTAATGTTGCATCTTCTTATAACAACCTTGGTGAAGTGTATCGTGCTAAACGTGAACTGGAGCAGGCTAAGGAATATTATCAACGAGCACTGGCAATTGACATAAAGCAATTAGGTCCTGACCATATTAATATTGCACGTTCTTACAACAACCTTGGTCTAGTTTGTCATGCTGAAGGTGAACTGGAGCAGGCTAAGGAATATTATCAACGAGCACTGGCAATTGACATAAAGCAATTAGGTCCTGACCATGTTAATGTTGCACGTTCTTACAACAACCTTGGTCTTGTGTATAAAGCTAAAGGTGAACTGGAACAGGCTAAGGATTATCATGAACGAGCACTGGCAATAAGAGAAAAGCAATTAGGTCCTGGCCATGTTAATGTTGCATCTTCTTATAACAACCTTGGTGAAGTGTATCGTGCTAAACGTGAACTGGAGCAGGCTAAGGAATATTATCAACGAGCACTGGCAATTGACATAAAGCAATTAGGTCCTGACCATATTAATGTTGCACGTTCTTACAACAACCTTGGTCTTGTGTATAATGCTAAAGGTGAACTGGACCAGGCTAAGGATTATCATGAACGAGCACTGGCAATAAGAGAAAAGCAATTAGGTCCTGGCCATGTTAATGTTGCATCTTCTTATAACAACCTTGGTGAAGTGTATCGTGCTAAACGTGAACTGGAGCAGGCTAAGGAATATTATCAACGAGCACTGGCAATTGACATAAAGCAATTAGGTCCTGACCATGTTAATGTTGCACGTTCTTACAACAACCTTGGTCTTGTGTATAATGCTAAAGGTGAACTGGACCAGGCTAAGGATTATCATGAACGAGCACTGGCAATAAGAGAAAAGCAATTAGGTCCTGACCATGTTAATGTTGCATCTTCTTATAACAACCTTGGTGAAGTGTATCGTGCTAAAGGTGAACTGGAGCAGGCTAAGGAATATTATCAACGAGCACTGGCAATTGACATAAAGCAATTAGGTCCTGACCATATTAATATTGCACGTTCTTACAACAACCTTGGTCTAGTTTGTCATGCTGAAGGTGAACTGGAGCAGGCTAAGGAATATTATCAACGAGCACTGGCAATTGACATAAAGCAATTAGGTCCTGACCATGTTAATGTTGCACGTTCTTACAACAACCTTGGTCTTGTGTATAATGCTAAAGGTGAACTGGAGCAGGCTAAGGAATATTATCAACGAGCACTGGCAATTGACATAAAGCAATTAGGTCCTGGCCATGTTAATGTTGCATCTTCTTATAACAACCTTGGTGAAGTGTATCGTGCTAAAGGTGAACTGGAGCAGGCTAAGGAATATTATCAACGGGCACTGGCAATTGACATAAAGCAATTAGGTCCTGACCATGTTAATGTTGCATCTTCTTATAACAACCTTGGTGAAGTGTATCGTGCTAAAGGTGAACTGGAGCAGGCTAAGGAATATTATCAACGAGCACTGGCAATAAGAGAAAAGCAATTATGTCCTGACCATGTTGATGTTGCATCTTCTAATAACAATCTTGGTCTAGTGTATGATGCTAAATGTGAACTGGACAAGCTAAGGATTATCATGAACGAGCTCTGGCAGCAACAGAAAAGTAATTAGATCCAGACCATAATGATGTTGCATCTGCTAATACAAACCTTGGTCTAATGTGTCATGCTAAAGGTGAACTGGACCAGGCCAAGGATAGCCTGCGAACAGGCTCTCAAGCTGAATTGAGAGCCTGCATCGATGACCAATGAATTTGAATATCTGCGTCTCAAATCGTGACGCGAAATTCTCATTGGTCAGATGCTATAATTTATATGTTTCCGCTGAGCTCTATATATGTCAACTACTGAAGCACTATGCATAAAAAAACACTATGCATAAAAAACACATTAACTGATCAAATTGGTCTTGACAATCTTATCTCAAAGCACGAAATGTTCTGTTTTGAGAAAACAGTATTTAAAACATTTGAACTTTTGCTTCAATATCTTATATTTCGAAAAACAGTATAAACTGTACGGTCTAAATTTAGTTTGCACGAAAGTTGTAAACAACACCATATAAGGATATACATTCCATATTTGGAAAAACGAACGTTACGGGGCAGATATTCAAATTCATTAGTCATCGATGCAGGCTCTCAATTCAGCTTGAGAGCCTGTTCGCAGGCTAGGCCAAGGATTATCATGAATGAGTACTGGCTAAAACAGAAAAGCTATTAGGTTCAGACCATGTTGATGTTGCATCTTCTTATAACAACCTTGGCGAAGTAATCGTGCTAAAGATGAAGTGGGCAAGTTGAGGAATATTATCAGCGAGCATTGGTAATTGACGTAAAGCTGTTATGCCCACCCATGTTGATGTTGCATGGTCTAGTGCATGATGCTAGAGGTGAACTGGACCAGGCTAAGAATTATCATGAACGAGCACCGGCAATAGGAGAAAAGCTATTAGGTCCTGACCATGTTGATGCTGTATCTTTTTATAACAACCTTGGTGAAGTGTATCGCGCTAAAGGTGAACTGGACCAGGCTAGGGATTATCATGAACGAGCACTGGCAAAAAGAGGAAACTACTAAGTTCAGATCATGTTGATGTTGCATCTTCTTATAATAACCTTGGTGAAGTGTATCGTGCTAAAGGTGAACTGGAGCAAGCTAAGTAATATCATCAACCAGCATTGGCATTTGACATAAAGCTATTAGGAAATATTATAAAGAATAATTATAAAGCTTTTAGGAAAATCCATCATAGAATGGAAATTGTATGGATCTTTATTGGAAATAGAGTGGATTTTGATTATGCATAATAATTATATTGTACATTTCCATAGTGTGGATAAAGTATCGAAATAGTATGAGTATTATATACTATGGATTTAGTGGTGCAATTGCAAATTTCGTTGTATGATTTTCACATTTTTTTCCCGGTGTGTGTGTGTGTGTGTGTGTGTGTGTGTGT